CCTTAGGGTAAAAATGTCTTCTTTTCCTTCCTGGGTTCTAGCTTTCACTCTGATTTTGACTTGATAATTCCTTATTATCTTGTCAGTTTATTAGCATTTTAAAGAAGATTTTTAAAAATTTACCCATCATTTTTAGTTTCTTGTGGGAGAGTTGTCCAAATATACTAGCCTTCTCTATTTCCAAGAATGGAACTCAAACCCACTTATAGTTGACAAAAGTGAGTTCAGAGAGGCCAGTGACTGGGTCAGACCAGTGAGCTGGCTAATGCAGAGTGGTTGGTAAAATCTGAGTATCTCTTCCAACTCCCAGAGCTGTGTTTTCTGAGATTTTCCCAGTCTATCTGATAGTTTCGATCTTGCACATAAACAAAGTAGAGATTTGAGGATTCAGATCATGAGTTTAATGAATATGGATGGGGAATCATAGAAATTAAAAATTATCTGTGTGTCTTTTTTCAAAATGGAGTCTCTGGCCCTAGTTCTGCCCAATCTTTGCTTTTGTGTTTTGATGCTGAAGTGTCTGAGGGGTTTATGCAGAACTACTCTAACAGAATGAAATTTTGTGGATTGTCAGGTTGCCTCCTAAACCACTGTCAATCCCGTAGAAATTACCAAATGTGACCTTATTTAGGGTAAAATAAATTAGAGATGTCTGGAACAGTGGAACCCGTGTTAGTCTTTTGGAAGAATAATTTCTGCCATCCACTTGCTGCTTTGCTTTCCCTTCCGCTGCCCAGGTTATTGTGTTTCTATTCTTTATTCCCATCTTGGATGGAGAGTGATGGTCGGACAAGGGAGAGGCGGGAACTAAATGTTCAGACAGCCTCCATCCCAGGCAGTTTTTCACTTGTTACTACGTTGCTTTAATAAATTTCCTGAACTGTTTGTGTGCTTTTATCCCATACTCATTGTGAATCTTGTTCCCCTTTTGTTTTTCGTGTAGAATTTTGACCCGTTTCTAACAAATATCCAGTCCATCACAGCGTACATTTTGCTAAGCTTATCATATTTCTGGATTTATCATTCCCCTATTTTTATTTTCCAGTCTCTTGATTTCTTCAAATATTTACTCTTACATATTTGTGTTGTATATAATTCTGTAATCTTTTGTGGACCCAAGAATAGGCATAAACTCCCAAATGTTTTCACTCTGCCTAGGCAGACATTTGAGAAGTAACATTCAGGATGGTCATGGAAAGAAATGGCGTTCTTTCAGGGAGGCATTTACAGTGGCGGAAAAGAGTACACCCTGGCTTTGGCGTTGACAGCACCTGTGTGTGCTGCGTGCTTGGGAGACCTTCCTATTCCGTCGAAGCCTCAGTGTTTTCATGTATGAAATGGTGGTTCTGATAGTGCATTGACGTGCTTAGCACAGTGTCAGACGTATATTTAAGATCACTAAATGTTAGCTGCTATTGTATTTTGAGAGATGGAACAGTTCAAGTAGAGGGAATAAATAGCAGGTACAAAAACGTGGAGGCACAGAAGTGCGTGCAGTGCCTATGTATACCTGCAGGCATTAAGGAATGGCCCATGGTAGGACACGTGCAGGTTTTCTAAAAAGTGAGTCAGGGCAAAATGCAAATGCGTCTGGATACAGATGTGATGGGCCTGTGTGTTGAACGCTGTTGAATCTGGTACCCTCGGCAGGAATTGTAAGATACGGACGGAGTGAGAGAGGCAAGGGGTGGTGGTGCCTCTGCTCTTGTGTTCCCGATAAGGCAGGCTGGTGGTTCTCAAGCTGCGGTGCACATGAACATGACTTGGGGACCTTGTTAAAAACACCGTGTTCTCGGGAGATCCAGACTCAGTAGGTCAGCAGTGGGCCCCGAGATGCTGATTTTGCAATTAATATACCAGGTGATTCAGAGGTAGGCTGTCCTTAGATGCCCTCGGAGTTGTACTGGGGTAGCTGTTGAGGAAATGCTCACTAACTGGCAGGCCTGATGAGGCTCAGTGGGAGGGACGATGGAAACGAATGACTTAAAAGCAACACGTTTACATTCATTATGAGTCACAGATATCAGTGCTCTTGCTTCTGTGGCTTCTTGCTCTGGATAAATGAGCACCAGTCATACGGGTATTTTTTTTCTTTCTTTTTTTTTTCAAAGAAAAAAGTTATCAGAGATCATATAATTGTTCTATTAGGTTTGGGAGAGCTAGCGATTGGTCCTTATCTTTTAGATCTAGCAGGAGGCCAAGGGGTGGAGAAAAGCCTGTTTAAAAGAGATCAGTGAAAGGGAGGAAGCAGAAAGGAAGGTGGAGCAGTGTGAGGTCAGGAAATGAGAAAGACAGAAACGAGAAGGGATGGGAAAAGAGCAGTCAGATCTGATTGGTTGGGAATCTATTTGCGAAGGAACCCAGCCAGTATTTAACCTGTTTTGAAAAAGCTAGACTTCCAGCATTTTTAATTAGTGGATTGCTCGCTTTTGAAATTGCCCAGTTGGGAATACTCAAGTTTTGATGTGTTTTATCTGCCCGCTAATTAGCAGGCTGCCTGGTTGACCATCATTTTCCCTTTGTTCTGTGGACGGAAGATGTTTGTGAAGGTCTCCTGAAACGCTCCAGCTCAAGTTTAGGTTAAAAGGCATAAGCCACTGTGTATTTAGGACGAGTTTGTGCTAAACTATAAGTTAAATTCTAGTACATCTTTTCTCCCAACTCGATTCTTCCTTTTTGCTCTTTAATGTAATTTTCCCTCAGCACAGGTCTGTCTTCTCATTCTAGACGCAGTTGAGACTTGGGGACGGAGCATTTTTTGTTGTGGGAATTCTATTCTAACATTTATAGGGCGTTTAGCAGCATGCCTGGTCTCTACCCACTGATGACAGTAGCACTGCCCCTCCACCCCTTTCCCCGCCCCAAGTTGTGACAACCAAAAATGTCTCCAGACACTGCCAAATGCCTTCTGGGGGCCAAAATCGCCCTCGTGGGGAATCGTTCCCCTTTCCTTCTTGTCTTTGCCAGCTTTTTGTGTTTAAATTTTTCCTTGAGAATTACAAAGACAAAATAGGTCCAAACGATATGAAATCTTACAGAATGTAGGGATTCAACTCTGCCTTCATTATGTTTTGGCCAAATACAAGAGGACAAAATCTCTCAAATGAATCTGGTCTGGCTGTTTCAGGTGAAAAGGAAGTGAAGACACGTGGGACTTCTGAAAGTGCACTGGTCGAGAGATTTTTGTCGTTTATACCTTTTGTTGTTGAACGTATTTGATTTTGGTTAAGGATGAAGGGAGCCATAGAGGCTTGCAAAAACTCCCAGATCCAGAGGGTTTTAAGTCACTTCTCCAAGTATTTCAGTTCAGTCTACCCCCTAGGCTGGGAGTGGAGTTGTTAAAATAGCAGGTTTGGGGAAAGTGTTGCACCTTCTCTCCAGAATGGATGCATTTCCCAGAGCTTTCTTGATATTCCTTAAAGCTCACGGTCAAGGAATTTAGCTGTCCACGGGGTGCGTGTGTTTGCCGGTGCCTTATCTTCTGAAGCACCAACAAAGGGAACAGAAATATTTGTTTAAAAAAAAAAAGAGAAAGAATTCAAGTTTATTTATTTATTTATTTCTCGAGTGTGCAGTGGGGGATGGACAGAGAGAGAATCCCAAGCAGGCTCTGCACTGTCAGCGCAGAGCCTGATGTGGGTCTCGAACTCACGAACTGTGAGATCATGACCTGAGCCGAAATCAAGCATCAGATGCTTAATTGACTAAGCCCCCCGGGCACCCCAAGGATTCAAGTTTAGTGCTAATAGTAAGTTGGTTTTTGTTGTTCTGTGCCATCTCTTAAGATACTCTAAAACACTGTGTACTCCACTGTACCCCAGAATAAATCAGTTTTAATTATACTATGATTTCTTTTGCTGGTAATGAAGTAGCAGTAATAAAGGAATAACAGTAGTGCATTAGGAAAATAAACAGTATCACTGAAATGTTAGGAAACACAGTAAATGGGATTATGTCTCCTGAACCAGAGTCTCAGACCTCCTCCTCCAGTTGTGTCAGAGGAAGCTTCTGATGGCTGTCTGTTATCAACCATGATCCAAATAATAGAACAGTGAAACTTTGTATACTTATAAAGACCTTTCATCATCAATATCAAAGCCATTGCTATATATAGAGTGACTGATCTTTAAAACACTTTTATGTTTTAAGCAATTAATATGATAACTTAGCTGTTCCACTCATCATCCTGAGTATTCGCCGCTAGAAGCACTGACCGAGCATGTAGTAATCTGGTCAGCATTAGAACTCTGCTGGTACAGAGTTCAGAAAAATTCAACTTTCTGGTAGTTCATCGAGGTCTCTTCACTATCACTTGGCAAGATAAAAAATGGCTTTAACAACATTAATTTTTACATCTCAGTACCCAGATTAAGGATTGTAGTCAAGTGGTAAGTCTATTAAAATAATTAAAATATGGAGACGGTGTTGTTTTTACTTAAAACATTTAAAAAAATCAAATTCTAGTCACCTTGTAGTGTACTGGTGGTAACAGACCACTGAATCCTTTTCTGCCTTGTATGTATTTTGTTCCATGTCTGTTGTCTGGTGTAATAAACCTTGACTAGAGAACAAACAGGTATCCAAGAGCATGATGGCACAGAGGCTGCTAATGTTAGTATGAATATTTGCCTTAACTGGCTTTTTGAAATACCCATTAAGGTTGTATTTGTGTATTTTTGAACTTATTTTTTCCAAAAGATCTTCTAAAACTTTAAGTGCAGTTTCATGTCTATAAAAGTTGAGGCTAGGAAACACTGAAGGATGGAAGTAATTTTGATGTTCATACCTCTGGTTCCTGAGGGTCCAGTTCATTTCTGCTGTGAATTTAAATGAGTTAATTTAAGTAGATGGGTCAGAAGCCACTATCATCGTGGTAGCCCCGTGCCTGATTCTTAATTAAAGGCAACAGGAGATTAATTTGAAACATTAATTTAAAAGTGCATGTACAAAAAGAAAGAATTATTGCAAGAAAGCCTAAAGAACTTTTCTCTTGTCCCTAGATGTAGAAGACAGAAGTAGCTCAGGGTCCTGGGGGAGCGGAGGACATCCAAGCCCGTCCAGGGTAAGTATATCTAATCTTTTTCCCACAACCAGACATGCCGCATATGTAAATTGACAAACTGAAGGTGAGTTTCTCTCTCTCACACACAACTGCACAGATACATATATGCATACTAAGTTTAATGAGGATCAGCTTGTGTTTGCAATTTTTTCCTCTCATTCTCTTATTGGATGCTGTTATTGAATTTGACACCTGTTCCACTTCTGTGAACCAGAAGAAAAATCCTTCATTAAATATTTGCCCTTACTTTGCCAGTTATTGATCCAGTATTACAGAAAGTTATTTGTTGTAGATGGCACAACTTGGGGAAAAGAAAAAAAATCTTAGTATCCCTAGTAATGTGTTGGTATAAATAGACTAGAGAATAATTCTGAAAACATAGTATGAAGTTCTGTCTGACCAGTATTATCTACATAACAAATCAGAGTTGATTTCACTTTGTAAGCATGAAATGTACCAGTTGGGTTCATTCATTTACTTGGTTTCAGATGTTTACTACTCTTTTTCATGGTTTACTCTCATGCCTTCGTTGTCAGTTTGGGTGTAATGGGAAGAGCATGGAATGGGGTGGGACTGGGGTATGTGTAGGTGGGAGTAGGCACAGTGTAGTTTTGTGTGTGTGTGTGACCTTGGGCATGTCATTTTACTTCTTCGGTCCTCATTTTTCGAATTTGTAAAATGAGAAAAGTAAAAGCAGAGGATCTTTTATGTTCCTTCCCACTTAAATATATATGATTTTATGTATAATCTGTTTTTAATGGAATCATTGCTAGGCCCTCTAAAATCCATGTCAGCTTTTCTAATATGCATATAAATACCCCAAATTAAAAATAGACTGAGAGCACATAGTCAAACAAACACGTGTCCCTCCCCCAGCCAGCTGTATAAATGAAGCATTCTGCAGGGAGGGAACATTTTGCTGTAAGTATTCACGTAAATTTGAGGTGGGGAGGGGTTTCTATTTTGGCATAAGAGGCAAGGAAGGTGATCAGGCTGTCACAATGAAGACATTTCAGCAAGCCACTGTTGTCCTTTTCCACCTGTCTTTTGACCTTGTGGTTCTCACTGTGGTCTTTGTGGTGCAGCAGGGTCTCCAAGCTCTAACTTTGTTGAGCCATCGCACCAGCTGTCGGGTTTGATATCCTAATGCATTATATGGATGGGTTGAGGAAATCTTTCCTCCTCCTCACGTTACAGCCTGCACTTGCAGAAATAAATCCATTCCCCTTGACAGCAAGTGTAGGAGATGACAGAATTTCCCCCCGTTGTTTAGCTTATTCACACAGGGTTTCTTATGATTTCTCACTTTAACACACATGGTACTTTTGATTGTTCTTCTGAGAACAAGGTCCCTTAGTATCATCCTGACTTTTTTTTTTGGTTTGCGGTGACTGTCCTGACATTGAATAATTTTCAATCAATATTTTGTAATTTATATTTTTCTAAATTTAGGGAGTTTGCATGCGGCAGATTTCTGTCGCTGATTCGTACCGACCCATGCTAAGTCTGTGTTCTCTCTTAAAGTGGTGATATTATCAGCTACCTTGAGGCACTATGCTGAGGTTTAAATTAGATAGTGTATATTAAGCTTTTAGTACACTGTTTGGGATGAGGACACTTAATAAATAAAAATCAGTATAATACAGTGCCTGGAGTGTAAAACCCATGCTAGGCGTTTAAAACGTGACATCTTTTTATACACTGATATATTGGCAGCATGAGATTACAATATCATTCAAGTTAATTTTTCTAAATGAGGGAAGGTGATTAAAAACAGGATTATTTGGAACCTTACAGGTTCCAGTTATTTTCTAGGGAAGTGATGTACAGACAGTATCTGTCTTTCTTTGTGTGGACAGATTCTGCCCTTTGGCTAACATGGCAACTGACACCTCTGAGTAAATTTGACTTGGTCTTTGTGGGAGGTACAACCAGCTGAGCAGATCGACCCTTTTTTTTTTTTTTTCCTTTTTGGTTACTTTATGCACCTTAGTCAGAAATGTGAACCCTACAATATAGATGATTTTTACTTTTCCTGTATGTTACCAATTCCTCCATTAATAAGTGACTGGGCAGTTTAAAACCATTATTTTAATTTTAAATTCCATCAAAACAATGAGATAATCATCATAATGACAAATTCTTGCCAAAAATTAATGTCTGCTTTTAAAACTTTTTTGTGGCATACTTTGTCCGAATCCGGAAGTACTAATTTATGCTAAAGTTTTATGTTCATTCACAGTCCTGCTGTAGTAATTTTAACATTCTTTCATGTTAATTACTTGTGGAATGATCCAATTCTTGTACAACTATAATAACAGCTATAACAAAACATTGAAATTTCAATACTGTAAAAGCGAATGTTGTTTAAAAGGCTGTACTTCTATAATTCATTATAGGCTATGGGTAATTTTCCCTGATAGCACACAATCTTGCTTGTTTTTTTTTTTTTTTTTTAAATAATGTGGGCTTACTAAAATAATAATTTTAATATTTACAGTGTACTTTATCCATGTCAGGTGTTATACATACATTATTTCACTTAATCATGTCAACAACTTCATCCCGTTGTTTCTATTACTATTATTATTTCTAAGATTTCATAGCTGTTATGAGGAAAACTTGAAATCTGCAGCCTATAGAGCCTCTCTTACCCACTGGACCTGTGAAGATGGAGGTTCCTTATAATGAGTGGGAATGTAACTGGAAATGTGGACTTCAGTGTCTTTGGGTCACAGAGGTGTCGATAGGGGGTGTTTATATGCTGATTTCTTCATGCAGGATGAAAACTTAGGATGTTGTTTTATTTACAGAACTATGGAGATGGGACACCCTATGACCACATGACCAGCAGGGACCTTGGGTCACATGACAATCTCTCTCCACCTTTTGTCAATTCCAGAATACAAAGTAAGACTAATTTTAAATTGACCTGCACTTTTTGAATGCTTGTATTTTACCATAGAAAGGGGAGAATACAGTCTAGACAGAGGTTCTGTTTTTAGGAACTGGAATCTGTAGCCAGTTCACTCTAGTAATTGTAAATTGCAGAAAAATACTGACAATTTATGCTTGGTTAAAGGACTACGTTTTATAACCAGGTGGAATCACAGGATTTCAGTGATACTGAATCGCTGTGGGGATTGTCTTCCTTAGATAGAAGAGCATGAATTCCAATTTCAATGTTGCAATACTTGTTTTCTGATTTAAGGTTGACAGAGTCAAAGTGGTGAATATTTAAAATAAAAATATCTTTGGGCCTGTCCATTGGCAATGATATATAGTCAGTATCACCTGTGAATTCTTACTAAAGGGGTTACAGTAACACCTTTAATAATAGGTTTAGAGCGCTTAAATCAGAGTAGTGAATTCAAGCTGAATTAGGAAATCTGGTTGTGTATTTATTGAGGTGTGAGCTTTTTAGTGCTGATGGTCTAGGCAGATTGTATTGTCCTTCACTGGAAGCAAGATATACTTGAGATAGTTTGTGAGTTTCCAGCATGCCGTCATACCGGTGTCCTTAGCATACTTCTCTGTTTTGTTTACCCTGTGGGGATGTGTGTTCAACAGTAGTAACCTGAGCAGTGGGCAATAGCGGGTTGCTTCAGTTTTGTGTGAAACAATGATCTTTGCCCTAGTAAATGTGAGTTTTTAACAATGTTAATAAATCTCACCATGGTCAAATTCTATTGCAAATCCATCAATAAATGAAATTAAATTTCTTGGCACAAGGCGTTGGGCCATCCTCCAAGAAAAACACATAGCCATAATTGTATCATTCTCAAACCATAATTGCAAATGCTTCTAAAGAATGTCCCTATTTTTAAGCCTTGGAAGCTATACTTGTTATTTAATGTATAGATAGTCCTTGAAGCTCATTTTTTTCAAAAGTCACCATCAAATCCATCTAAAGGAATTTCAAATATTTGACATAAAGTAGACAAAGCAGAGAAATACTAGCAACCTATTTTAAATGGGTAATATCATATGCTTGTGCCTTTAAGTATCATGCCAACTTTGAGAACCATGAAGTTGTGTGTGATCCTAAGGCTGTTATTATATTTGTGTTCCCTTTTACTTTAAAATGGTAAGTTTCATATTTACATTTTAATTTTGTAGCTAAAGCAAGCATCCTGGTTTTTATCAATTGTTGATACGGAGGTGCAGGATATGGAGATACAGAAGACTAGATATATTTGCCAACCTAGATTTTAAAGAACAGCTTTAGACTCTTTAGTGACAGTAGCACTAACATTAAATTCTAACACCTTGCTTCTCCAGTTATCCTCATTCAATTTGACAACACAGAATAAAAGATTAACTTGAAAATAATCTTGGGAAGGAGTACTTAAAGGGCATATTAAAGAACTCCCTGAGAAGTTTCTAAAACTATTTTCTGATGAGTGAAAGTAAAATAGGACAAATAAATTACTACTCATATTTAGAAGTTTATGTTCTGTCCGTGAAAAAAGGGTTTCTTAAGGAAGAACTTGATAAATTAGCATCACGGAATACACCAAGCAATACAAGGATATTAAATATTTGTTTCTTGTTCATCTCTTGCCTCATGGGCAACTGTTTTACCAGCCAAATTTGCTTTTCAATCCAAATGGTATTTAAAATATAAGTGGGCTGAGAGCCTGGAGCTAGAGCAGTGAGAGCTGACTCTTTTCACTTAGTTGTTGTTTAAGCTGAAAGTCCATGTCAGCTGTGTTCTTTTATCCCGTCTGCCCTCCTTCCCATTAAACTCTTAAATATGGAGGCCAAGACAGTCTCCTGCATTGTGATAGGAAATGCTACTATGTCCGGGAGGCTCCCACCCACTGTTCCCCATGAAAGGACTTCTCTGTTAGATAAGCTGTCTGGTCTGAAACATGGCTCTTTATTGTTTACAAACTGCTACATTTTCCACCTCAAGCAGATTTTTGCACAGAATAGAATTGTGCTGGGGCTAAATGGTTTATCTGACATTAACGGGGCAGTGTCAGACTGGGGTCAGGAAAGTCGCCCTCAGAGCGAGAGGGCACGGCGCAGTCTGCAAAAAAGGGAAAAAAGACGTTGAAACAACTATGAAATACCTTGCATTTTTAGTTTGGAAAAGAATTTAAAAATATTTTTAGAGAACTGCCCATGATGCTTCACGAACTCTTCCCACCCCTGTAATTTCTCACATCCCAAATGCCTTCTTGATTGGCTTGTCTATCTCGGGGCTAGATTAGGGGAACAAAGCTTCTCATTGATTTTTGCCCAAGCCGCTGTTTATTTAAAATAAGACCACTTTGAGATGTTATGCGGCACTTTTACAAAGAGAAGATGGGTTGTTTTCGAGAAATTAAAGACAGCCAGTTTACAAATGGAGGCGGAGATCAAGGAAGATCTATTAGTGTGGCCACAAGTTCGAACTCACAGAGTACATGGTATGATCTGAACTGCTCTTTGTGTCCAAATCCATATTCTGTGTCATGATCCTGGTGCAAGTTTTCATTCTTCCAAAAGCAGGTGTTAGACTTCATTGTGAGTTTTTGACTACAGTCAATACCTGCTTTCAGAATCTTTAGTTTTCAGTAAAACTACAAAGGATTTCTTTACATGTTAAAGACTTGATTCTGCTATGATGTCACAATTAGGGTAAAAGCTATAGCATAAGAAATAAATCAACCACTTTATATTGGAGCGGATTCTGTGTTGTCAAATCAATCAAGCCTGTGACTGAATTAGGCGTCTGCTACAGAAACAAGTGACACTAATTTTACAGGAAAGAGTTATTAACTGCAGATGACCCGATTTTTTTTTTTTTTTTTAAGTAAACTGTTCACTTAGCGAGGTTTTATTTTCTTGCAAGGAAAGAAAAAAGTAATGAACTGCTCTCTCCTTTTGGGAGTGCATCATTGTTATATATTTTGTCCTTTATGGCAATACACTATTTTGGAGAAACCATACAGGCATTGCTAACATTTGCTCCTGAACTCTTACGGTAATAAAAGAGTTATAAATATTATAACTCTGAACTTTTTGATTTCACATGAATGGCTTTGCATAAACATTGCACTTTTTGTGATATAAATACTTATGTTTGGCACCAAAACACCAAAACTCAATGTATTTATGCATTTCGATTTTTTCCAAAATGGTATGTCATTTATAAGAGTAAAAGACTATCTTCATTAATTTATTCTTTTAGAAACAAGCCTGCATATCTGAATGTAATACCCTATTTGATAGTTTGTGAATCCCTGAAGTAAAAATGGACAAATGAATGCAAGTGTACTTGCATGCAAGCATGGGTTTGTGCACACATGTGCGCCCCCCCCCCCACGCCTATTCTGTTGGAATTAATGACACTACTTGGTTTTTAAGGCTACACCACTTCTTCCATTACTGTCTGTAATCACAGTTGCCATACAAAGTTTGGAAGTTGATATTGTGTAAATCCTTTAAAGGAAAACATAGCTAAAATAAACAAAAAAGCCAGCCCCTAATTTTTTTTTTAAATAACCGTGCATGACTTTTTGTTTTCCTTTTTGTGTGGGGGAGTCCGGAGGAGTTGAGAGACGATAGCACTGAGTCGTCTAGCTGACTGTCTGCACTGACCAGTTCATATATGCACTCTCTTTTTTTTTTAAATGTTGTTTATATTTTTATTGAGGTATAATTGACATATGACGTTGTATCAGTTTCAGGTGTACAACATAATGATATGATATCTGTGTACCTGACATTTCCAGCATCCTCACTCATTGCTTTCTTTGGGTGGAGACGAGCAAGCTGGTTTGCATTTTTACTCGTTTGAAATGCCCTGTCCTGTTTCATGTCTGGAAGCAACAAATCACTTTTTCTTTGTGACTACTTATGATTATTAATGGCAATAATGTACACTTGATCTACTGGAAACTTGTTCGCTGAAGTTTTTAAACAGTTTGATTAAACCTTTATAGGGGATCAGTGAATAGCTTTCAGAATATGCTGAAAGGACAGAAGGGCCATGGGTCTGAGGTTTGTGTTTTTAGGAGGATTATATGCTCTGGAAAAGTCTGAAAATCCCAACAAGAGCTATATGCAAAGAGTATGGATTTTTTTAAAAATTTCTGACCCTGTTTGTTTTTTTTTTGCAAACGTTAAACTTCTGCAAATAATTGTCCAAATGTTTTTACAATGGGAAAACAATATATTTTCTAGCTCTAACTTTTTGATCCAAGGAAGGCTCTAAGCATGCATTTTCCTTCTATTGTTCCAGAGGCTTATTGAAAACTAGATTGTTTGAGTGAGCAATTTGCCAGTAAGATTATAGACATGCATTGGTAACTGAAGGATGTGAAAAGTGATACTTTTGTACAGTTGGGTGCAGCTTAGTTCAACATCAGCTGCTGTGTTTTTACATGTCCCATTGTGAATGGTTCAGTTTCCTTACTGTGGTATTTGGTTGTAGCCCCACTAACGGTAACGGTACTCTACCAGTGCCCTGAATAATTTCCCACTGTAGAGTAACTGGTTTCTAAACTAGCTCAGTGGAACATTTTACTGCAGGATTAGATCGGGGTTTCAGGCAGAACTGAAGAAGGCTGCTGGCTTATAGGATGACCTTTGAATCTCATCTGGGTTAGCGGTTGATATTTTGATTTGGTTACTGTGGTCATATTGTGACAGCTGCTAGCTCATTATAATTCGGTTCCACTGCTCCGTTTGCCTAGCAGGAATATTTAGGTTTGTATTACTTCAAAGTGTTTATGACTACCCTGAGTTTAGCCCAGCATAAAGGTGAAGTGTTGTGAGTGTTTTCAAATCCCAGTGGCAGAGGCCAGTGGCACAGTCTTCTTGTAAAATGGTGAATGTGAGTAGATGCTAATACAGGGAGTTTTTCTTTTCATTGTAAAACTGGAAATAAACCTAAATGAAGAGACTCTAACCAGGAA